ATAGCTATAGCACATTTCTTTAAGAGTTTTATGTTTTATTTAAAAGCTTAGAGTGTAAGCTGTATCTAATGTTCTTTTAGCGCGTCTAAGTAGTGTTGTGGGGAATGCATTAGTGTAGAAAGGGTAGTTTAGTGGGGTCTTGGCAAAAGTAAGCGACTTAGGTGTGTGAGCAACTCGCCTATAAAGTACGTTAAGTAAAAGAAAAAGGCATTATGTGTGTATAAATTTTAATACTTAAAGCTTACTTTTAAAAGTAGAAGAAGCTTTGTTAGAGTATAGGTAGCTATATTTTAGGATTTTAAGTTAGAGCTAGTTATACTGTCTTAAGGTAAGTAGATAGACTTAAAAAAATACTATAATAAAGTCTTAGCTACTTATATGCAGCTATTTTATGCTAAAGTCTTTAAAAAACATAGTATTGTGTTATAGCAAAAGAATAAAGCTTTATACTATAGGTTAAAGATAACTACAGGTTTCTAAGAAAAGCTTTACATAAATTATATAGTGTAGCTAGCATAAAGTCTTAATTTAAATTTTATTAAGAACCTTTAGCGCATTATAAAGATTTAGATTTTAAAAAAAAGACACTAAATAAGTAATTTTAAAAAGATAAAGTCTATTCTAAAGAAAAAGTAGGATAGGTTAAAGCTAGAAGATTAGCAGAAGTGTATATCATCTATGCCCTAGCGCGTCGCTGACGTTAGGGCTGCCTAGGGAGGCTCCACCTGCTAGTAAACAATTGCTACTCTAAAAGATTCTTTGTTATTAATTCTATTATATAAATTAAAAGCTTTAATTTTTAATTGCAATCTATCCCTAAAATCCTTATAGAAAACTGCGTGGGCAGATCGTATTCGCTTGCGCACGGTGCGGAGGATGATCACTTCCTGGCACCTACTGTACATCCCGCACGGCACGACCACACAATAAAAGCGGTACCAGCGCAAATCCAATGTAGCTTGGGACAATTGGTTCATCCCGTTCTCGCAAGTACAATAACATCCCGGAGATGGAAAGTACCTGTGCGTTCGATATGGATGCGAAGGATGATGTGGAGAGGGCAAGCCATGATTTCACTAACAACGGCAAGATTTCCGTCACAAAGGACTGGGAGATCATACACGAGACTGTTTCTAGTCACGAAAGTATGGGGCGTCGATACTAGTCTATTTGTTAGGAAACCGCATGGCATTGTAATAGGAACCGCAATAACGTACACAACGGCAAGTTGCTCACACACCTAAGTTGCTTACTTTTACTAAGACCCTACTAAACTACTCTCTCTACACTAATGCATTCTTAATAACACTACTTAGACGCACTAAAAGAACATTAGATGTAGCTTATAAGTTAGGCTTTTAAATAAAACATAACACTTTTAAAGTAACATGCTATAGCTATGTGTAAAGTTTTTTAAAAAATAATAAATAACTAATATACTAAATAACTTTTATAAGCTAATTCTATAGCTAACTTATAAAAGCTAGATAATAATAAAAAGTAAGTAATTATTAAGCATATACTTAAGCTATGTATATAAGAATTTTCTTTTTAGCTAACGTTAGTAACTATAGCGAAGATAGCTAATTCTTTACACACTAAGTATAATCTAGGCTATGTTAGCATAAACTAGCCTAGTATATTTATGAAGTGTTATTTAAAGCTTAAAGTAAAGTTTTAACTATAAGTATAGTTAGTAAATATTTAGCTTATTATAAAGCCTAGTTTATTAAAGTTATATATGTTATTATTCTAGATACTATACTTAGCTTTAATATTCTTTATAAGGCTAAACTAGCTTTAAATTACTTTAAAATTTTATAAAAAACTATTTTATATTTATTCTAATTCTTATTTATATACTTTTATATATATTATTCTAAGATGCTGTTTATTTATTCTATTTATCAATTTAGTTAGAAATAAAGTGTTGTTAACATTACAATCTTTATCTTTAATAGCTAAAGCATTGTTTTCTAGTAGGTAGACTTAAAAAGCTTGTTTCTATTAAAGAATATCTTATCTAGAATACTATAGTTTATAAGCAAGTATAAGAACAAAGCTTTGTACCACTGCGCTACTATAAGTAAATAGTGTGAATAATTAACTAACAGTTAACTCTACGTACAGAATAGTATATATACCTGTTGTGTGTAAGAACTATGTTAGTTTTACAACAAGATCTTTTAAACTTTATAAGCTAACTTTTCTACTACTATTAGTTATTCTATACCTTTAAAATACACATACTGTCTGTACGCAGCAGCAGCGTCACAGTCTGGATACAAGCGATCGCGCACGAGCAGGACCACGTATCTATGTCACATAATGCTTGTGCGCGAACTTTTGTGCACAAATATTTAGATATCTTTTTTTTCCTCTATACAGAGGAAAGACAAGAGTAATAGAACTAAAAACATGTTGCCCTTACTTTACCTACCTTGTACACTGTGCACACTATACACTACTCTTACTTTTACTACTTAAGTGCTTATACTATAAGCAGCTAGCTATTAGAGCCTATTTAACACTAATTAGCAGTTAATTTAATTAACTATAAATTAGTAAAAGTAATAATAAAGTACCTATACTTTATAAAGTACTTTATTTTATTACTTATCTTTTAAAAAAAGTAATAATAGAGCACTTACACCTTATAAAGTACTTTATTTAGTTACTTATTTTTTAAAATAGCAGATTAATCCTTTACATTATATAGTAAGCTCTGCTACTGTATAAAGTAAAAAGAAGATAGTGTAAGACGCATACTAAAGCTATTAAAGCTGCATAACCTAGTAGCTAGGTAATAGTAGATTAATCCTTTACATTATACAGCAAGCTCTGCTACTGTACAAAGTAAGAAGGAGATAGTGTAAGGCGCACACTAAAGCTATTAAAGCTGTACAACTAAGCAGCTAGACAATAGCAGTACCTGCATAATCTACTAGAAAAGTAATTAACTATACTATTATAATAAAATTTTACTAGTAACTAATAACTTTATATAATAATAAAAAAAATAAGAAATAATTTCTATTATATAAATAACTTATAAAAAATATAAGAATATTAAAGGCAACACTATAAAATAAGACTAGCCTAGAGTACTAGAATAATAAAATTAATATGTTAAAAGCTTTAATAAGCTTATAAACTTAATTATATATAAGTTATATAATTACTAATTTACACTTAATAACTTAAAAGGGCGCTACTTTTCTAAGTTTATATATAAAGAATTTTAAAAAATAAATATTATAAGACTTCTTAGCACTTAGCTGTGTGTTTAAAAGGGAGCTTATATAAGTGCTAAAGAATAAGAGAATTACACTATAGCTAGGCACTAAAAGTACCTAAGCCTAGAAGCTGTATAATATAGCATAAAAAAAGTAATTATACTAAAAAAGCTTTATACATAACCTTTATTACTATATAAAGCTCTACACAGAAGCAGACTAAACATAATGCTACTATTAACACTAAATGTACTAGTATTACCTACTTCTACACCTTAGCTAGCACTACACTAATTACTGTATAAATAATACATGCTACTATACCTAACGCCTACTCTACACCCTTAATTGTACACACTACCGCCTGCAGTAGTGTATGCACTACTAATACTACCTGCACAATCTATACTACATTACAACCTGTATAAACTTCTACTGTAAAAAGAAACTGCTAAAAAAAAACTTTTAGTAAACAAAATTATATAATTTTAAAAAGTATAAAAAAAAGATAATAACTATATAAGTTAACTATATAACATTTTTATAAATAAAATAAAGATTTTTATTAATCTATGTTAATAGCTAGATATCTAAGAAACTTAGTATGTAAACATCTTTTTAGATATTTTAAAAAGTTAGGTAAATATATACTATATACACAACATAAGCTCTAGATATAACTAGAAGCATTTGTATAACACCTTAAGTAGTTACTTTAACACTAATATAAACTATAGCTAGTACTAGACAAACTAGATAATAATAACTTTTACATAATACTAATAAAAAACTTTAATAAAAGTTTATATAATATTAAATAGGCTCTGACAGCTAGCTGCTTATAGTATAAGCACTTAAGTAGCAAGAGTAAGAGTGGTGTACAGTGTGCACAGTGTACAAGGTAAGTAAGGTAAGGGTAACATGTTTCTAGTTCTATTACTCTTGTCTTTTCTTTATACAGAGAAAAAGGGAGATATCTAAATGTTTACGCACAGAGGTTCGCGCACAAGCATTATGTAACATAGATATGTGATCCTGCTTGTGCGCAATTGCTTGTATCTAGGCCGCAACGCTGCTGCTGTGTATAGACACTAGTAACTTTTTTTTTTATCTAAAGAGTTACCTTTTATACATGTTACTTTCTTTTTATTTGTGTAAGTTTATCTAATTATGTTCTGCCTTTACTTTACCTTATTTATTAAGACTTACCTTAGTAATGCTGTACATTAAGATAGGCTAGTTACACTATATAGATAGCTTTATAAATAGTGTAAAGTGTTTTAGGCTATTATTATCTAGCCTTTATGTGCTTACCTTATAAGTAATTTAGTAGTGTATAAACTGTTTTATGTAGAGTTTTATGCTAGAATAGTGTAGAATCTTTGTGTAAGCAGGTGTGTAAAGAGGTGTATATAATAAGGTCTTCTTTTCTTTTTTACTTTTTTTTCTTTATTTTTTACTTTTTAAGCCCTACTGTACTATTCTCTAGCTCTTTTCTTTTTTTATACAGTGCTAACAGTAACAGATACTCCTGCCTGCACACACACACACACACACATAGAGAGAGAGAGAGAGAGAGATGTCTTTCTAGCCTTCCTCTTCTACCTCTAGCGCTGTTAGTGCGGGCGTCTTTAACGTCCTTGTGCAGTCTAGCAGCCTAGGGCGCATCTATGTTACCCTTTTAACTAGTTTTACTGCTAATTAGTAGTTTATTTAGTGTTTTAGTATAAATATATAAATTTTTTAGCTTTTCTACTTCCTTCTTATATAAAATGCTAATTATAAATAGGCTAAAAAGTAGTATATAGCAGCTTTACTATTTTATAATATTAATGTTGTTTTACCTGCTAGCACTAATCTACAGCTATAGGTAGCAAAGGTTGTGTGTTATAAAAGGTACTTTTATATAGTTTTAGTCTAGAGTTACAGTTAAGTCTTAGTAACTTTATATGCTTATTATTATAGTAGCACTACTAGTGCTTTTTTTTTTATTAAGTGTTATATATTAGCTAACTTCTAGGCTAATGCCTGCGCTTTATGCATATAGCAGAGCTGTAGTCTGCATTATAACTACTATATATAAGGGGTGGTAGCTTTTTCTTTTTTTATATACTAGATAAATAGACTATTTTTTTTACATATTCTTCTCTTCTAATCTTATAATAAGAAAAAAAATAAGTGTGTATAATAAAAAAAATAAAAGAGATAAGCTTTATATAAAGGTGTTATTAGTCTAGTTAGTTTAAAGCATCTTTGCGCACAGAATTTAGCTAGTCTACAGATGCTTCTATCTAGACAGAGAGGTAGTTAGTTAGGACTAGTAATTAAAGAGCCTAGTTTAGTGTTTTTTTATATATGCATTTAATAAGTTGTTTTTACTATTAATTTACTTAATTTTAGTAATTTCTCTCTTCTTATATAATTTATAAAGTAACATAATGTTAATTATAAGTTACTTTTTACTAGCAGTGCCTAGCTTAATAAAGTAATTATATAAAAACCTTAAATCTGTATAGATTACTACTAGAATTAGTAGCAGTTTAAGCATTTATATAATTTACTATAAAGTTATACTAAAAGTAATTATATTATTAAACCTTTTAACTATTCTATATAGTTTACTAGTAAGGACACTCCTAGTTACTCTTTTATACTTAGTAGAATTTTAGTGTATAATGTTGCCTAGTATTTTAAAGTAGTTGCTTTACTCTGTATAGTTCTTATTACTTAATATAATTAAAAATTCTAGCTATAAGCTAAGGTCTTTATTATTAGTAAATAATTTATCTATAAAGATAAACAGCTTTACATAATTAAGCTGTAATAGTAAGAAAGTAAGACTGCGCTTACTATTATCTATCTGCTATTAGATTTATGCGTTAAGTGTGTTAATATTATTATGCAAAAAGTCTATAGTTTATGCAGTAATAAATAAGTTAAATGCTGCCTTTAGTTA